GTTTTATGTATATCGCTCACACTCATATTCCTTGCATTATTATTATTATTACTATTATTATTGTGTTGTTGTTTTTGTTGATTGATTATTGGCATTACAGATGATGATTCTTCTTATTATTTTTGTTGTTGTTATTATTATTATTATTATTATTATTATTATTATTGAAGCGGATTTTTTTTCACCTTAGCATTAGTAAGTGCAGATCCCAGGGTTCGATCCCTAGACCTTAGCACACCCTTGTACAATACCGAGTCAACCGTTGTGTGTTTGATCTTGTGATCTGTGTTTTGGTAGTTGCATGTTGCCTGTCGTAGGTTTGTGTAGTTGTATTCCGGGTCATAATTGTGTAGTTGGTCGTAGCTGCTAGAGTGACAAAAGGCCAAGTCCACAGACTTTTGCAAGGTCCGGAAGTGGCCTTTCGAGTTTCTCTCACGATTTCACCACAGACCAGAGGCAATGGGCAAGTGGTGAGTCTGACTTCGCTTAGTCAGCGGTACCCAGTCCTTGTCTTATGTTTGTCCAATGAGGGACTGTGTGCACCATGGGACCGGTGGAAAAAGGCAGACCAGCAACTTACAGAAGTATAAATCAAGAGGCAACGCCCAACCATTCTTTCATTCTTGCGTGAGCCATGCGGAAGCGTCGTCTTAGCATCATGTGCAAGGTGGTCTGCAGTTGCCCGCAGTCGAAGTGGGCTGAGAGGAAGATATTGCAGCCATAGTTGCTCGAAGTTTGAGATAGTCAGCAACCATAGTTGCCATAGCTAGAATTAGGAAGTGGTAAGGGTGCGTGTGTGATACAGTGTGATCCAGAGTTGACTGTACGCGAACGCTGGTGGAGGACACAGTGTCAGCAGTAAAAGGGGTTGGTCGCTCAGACACCATAACCTGTTTGAAGCGAGTTTATGTCTGAACTGTGTTTTCGGTCTCCATATCTCTGAGCTTTGTGTGGATGCACAGCACGTGCGTGGGTTGCCATCTGTTTGCATGTATGCAATTTGAAGAAGAAAGCGAGTTTGATTGCATTATTATCACTATGATTTCAAGCTGCTCGATTCTGCCTCCGCAGCTTACCATATGCGAGAGTGGAGACTTGTTGAATGTGCTAAGAACCCATCGGCGGCATCGCAGGGCCGGATCCGTTGTCTACGTGACTTGTAGGAATATATACAAGTGCCTCTCAAGTTCCCCGGCCTGTAGTTTCAGTATGTAGCACATCATGAAGGATCATATTGCGTTCACAGTGAGAAAGAGAGAAAGAACGAGTGTGTCTCCAATCTCACTACGGGCCTTACGGCGCTTTCATCCACAAGTTAAGCAAGGTTGAATGAATCTACTGCTAGAACACATAAATATACATACAAGAGCGGATGGAGGGGGAGAGAGAAAGGGACAGAAATAGACAAATAAACAGTCCGGCACAGACAAATAAACAGTCCGACACAGACAAACAAACAGTCTGACAAAGACAAACAGCCAGACGCAGGGAAGCAAGCAGACATACAGATGCAAATAGACAGACGCACCCACAGAGAGGGGAAAGAAAGAAGATGAAGGTGGTGATGAAAGGGTACATACCTGGTCTTGGCAATGGCCTACAGGGGTTGACATCACCATGAACTCCGGGTTGTTGTTGACGTCAATTGGATACATTATCAATTGGTAGGTTGCTAGTAAAATATGTAATCGAAGTCTAGGCGCTGAATGCGGAATTGGGGAAAGGACTCTGGATACATATGCCGGCAATGTAGAGGGCTGACTCTCACCGACGTCTGGACTCAATGCTTTTATTCTCTATTGGGGGAATGTCAGTTTATTACTGCTTTCCGAACAGTGCCAGACTTTCTGGCTGTCAATGTAGCTTTCCAATCTGGGATCTGTCATTTCGCCTTTGCACGCTTACCTTATGATATTATTATTATTATTATTATTATTATTATTATTATTATTATTATTATTATTATTATTGGTAGATTGTTTCAGTAATAAAACATCATGAGATAAGCAAGGGTCGGAGAGGAAAAGAGTGCGGGGCACTGGAGAGGAGAGGGACATCGTCACCGTGTGACGATGCCCACCTCCTCCATCCTCCTCCGTTCTTGTCCTTGATTGGTCCTCTAATACGCCTACCTCTTCAACTATAAGTGTTTGGTAATGATTTACACTGAGATAATCAGTCAATTGCATAGACTTGACACGATCGACAACAGGGCGATTGTGGGAGCTCAGCCGGAGTTAAGGAGGAACTCTGGAGGCAGGGAACCATAAGGTACGCATATTTCATTCCGTTCCCGTATACCCATACAAGTTACAACCTTCTACTGGATTGCCTGTATGGGTGGGTGATATATTCTTCGTGTTTTTTTCAACATTAAACGTATCAAAAGGGAAAGAACTATATGATTGAAGTAAAAATTCTCCCTGATGAAAGGAAGGAACCTGGGAAAAAAAAAAAAGGAACCTAGTCTGCTTGGTTCTGAAACATAAGGCAGTGTGATGAGGACTTCCGAGGGGTCTTCACACTGCTTGTATGAGTTAACTAAAACGGATGACAGGGTTCTCGCCGTGCGAAGTTACCCTGCCATTCGTCCAGCTAAAATAACAAATTGATGCAATGTCTGCTTGATTTCGACGTTTGTGACGGGAGGTTGCCGTGCAGTTTTCTCATTACCTTACAGGTTAGGTTTATAAAGTGATCCGGTACTCCCGTGGGGTACACTTCAATCATTAACAAAAGCCAAGTAATCCGGTACTCTCGTGGGGTACATGTCTTCAACGACTAACAAAGGCAAAAGGTAGCAGGAGGCTTCCGTGGGGTTCTCCTATCGCCAATCGGACCAAACTAGGAAAGGAATCGAGTACTCCCGGGTGAGTGCACGAACTCCTAAGTCTGGGTCGATCTGTCCGACTTCCCGTGGGAGTTAACATACCTTTTGTTCAGTTAGGATGCATAGGCAAGTTAAGTGAGCTGTCAGGGCAACTCAGCCAAGAGTTGTTTGATCTCCTCCGGATCAAATTGGTAGTAGGATAGCTCCCGAGAGGGTTATCTTAATACTTGTTTGATTCGGGGATCTACTAACTAAGGAAAGAGAATGAGGTGAATATGTTTGAACAAGGGGTACTCCCGGGTGAGTAACCTTACGACTTGTTCAGGTATGACTAATGGGTGATAAATACTAACGATCCACTTGTTTAGCATTAAAGCAGGACATGGGAGGCTCTCGTGGGGACATCCTATTGCTTGCTTAACTCTATCTTAACAGCTCTATTGAGATACTCCAGCCAAGGGAGGATCTGGTGCTTGCCTGGTCCACTAACATAGTCCTAGCTCGTCTGACTCTGAGAAAGTAGTAGGGTGGATCCCGTAGGGTCGTCCTATTACACTTTTGAGGGAAAGACTGAGCTTTGATCAAGGAAAATAATAGGAGGGTTCCATGAAGACCGCCTATTACTAACTTTAATTCTGAATTGACACATGGAGCTAGAATGTTTTATGAGTATTGGGTGAAGTGTTGAAACGGTTCGACATAGGCCTCCTAACTATCTGCTTAAATAATAAAAGGATACTCCCGTCTGAGTTATCCGATCGCTCGCACTAGAATGCATGAGCTACTTGGTTGTATGAGGACTGCATGGACTTTGAGGAGTGACTGAGTGCTCCCGTGGGGTTGCTCGACTACTCGTTCGACTAACCGTTTTTGTCTGGAATTGATCAAGTAATGGAAGATTCTCGAGTGAATTAGCCCACTACTTATGTATGTTAGGACAAGAAGAAGAGGAAGGGAAAAAGGGAGTGCTCCATTAGGAGCGACTCCAAAGGTCCTTTAAAAGGAACGTGGAAAAAAACGAATACCACAGGGTGAAAGGATTAGAAAAGAAGAAGTTCCGCGTAGCCTCAGTTCATTGATAGACTCCTAAGGGAGAAAATCGCCGACTGACATGAGTTGATCTCGGCCAGACCACCGCATAAAGCACCAAAGGGTGTGCTTATCCGCAAGAGAGAGAATGCAAGAACTGAAATGAGGGGAAATATGAGTTTTCCTAAAAGACAACTTAGGACATAGGCAAAGAGATTCCTTGAAACGAAAGGAGAAGGGGTGACAAACGACTTAGGGTAGATAGAAAGTAGGGGTTAGACTTTGGGATGTTGATCCCAAAAAGCTCACAGACAACATGTAAGGGCTAAGACCCTTAGATATCAATATGTGAGAATTGAATGGGGATGTTGAATCTTTGTTGACCTGTGTGTGTGCAGGTCTCTGTTTTGGTCTACTGCAATTAAATGAGAAGTCTTACATAAGGGACTCAATTTTCTGTTATCACTCGATAACAGGTCGGTCGTTGCCGATTCAACGTTTTCCACCTTGGCTTGATACCTACATCTAAAATCAAACCCCGTGGTCAGTAAAACTATCACCTGTGGTCATTGCCTAAATGGTCTTGGTCACTCTCAATGGTCCTTTGAACAGGTGTGAGGGGGCTAGGCTTGCATTTCAGGAACGATAGGGTTGTCATGCATGGTTTGGGGAGTGAGGGCAATGCTAATGGTTTATGGTTAACGCCGTTAGTGGATGGCATGTGAACTGTCTTTGCGTTATGTTGTGCAGGTCTGTCTTGTTTATGGTTTGGATTGGACTGGGATTGACATCGTGAAGAGTCTGGACACTCAGCACTTGTGAAAGTGGGAAGGGTTCCCAGCGTTAATACCTCGATATTCATAATCAAATCTTATATATTATCTGATGATCAGTCATACGTTGAGTGGAATAGATTATCTTTGGTAGTGACAAGAGTTTTGATACTTTGAACATAGTGATCAGAAGGAGAATGTGTTTTTGGAATAGAAGCGGGAATAGACGACCATCTCAAAGTTCGACCTGAATATCTAACGGGTCAGTCCTAAGCGTCTTACCGCGCGTACCCCATATTATGCTCCAGCGATCGAGCAAACGCCCTCGGCCGACCTACCTCTACTCAGGCATGTAAAAGCCTTAGCACGTGGGTCGGTAGCTCAACAGGGATAGGCCTACCTAAGGGTGGTGACAACCCCTTGGGTAGAGGTAAGTTGTACCTCGCGACGTCCCGACCTGTCGCACGGCGTCGTGAGAGGTATAGCACGCGCGCACGGTTGGAGTGGTAACAGGTTTTTTTCAGACGAAACATCCTGCGTGACACGACCATGAGGTTTAACGCTCCCCAGCAGGGCGTGGGACCGCTGCGCGAGACAGCACGATAACCTTTCTGGCTTTGTAGATGTCGGACCATTCGTACAAAGGCAGGATTAGTTTTGGTGCGCTGCATCGAGGAGTACTACTTGCGCTATCCCTTTGTCAGAGAATTCGTTATGGATAGAGAATCGGAGTTTACCTGCCAGGAGGTGCAAGAGTTGTTATCAAGGTACGGCGTGGTAGCCAACTACACCACGACCGCGCACCCCTAGGCAAATGCTCCAGTTGAGAGAGGACATAACACCATTGCGAACCTTCTGGCTAAGTGGACTAAGGCCTAATCAGTGGCCAAGATACTTAAGGGCGACATTCTTTGTCGTGAATATTACGGTAAAAAAGACCACTAAATATTCACTGGCCACGATATGGTAAGGGAGACACGCTACTTTCTCAATCGAGAGCTTCCTAAAGACTTGGAGGCGTCAAGATTTGGAGGTCGACCTGTGTTTCGAGGAATTGCTCGATATTCGAGCGCGGCAGGTGGGCGCGATAGAGGAAAAAAATCAGGAGATGTCCAAACAAATGAAAAGGAACTGTATGGAGGATAAGGCTCGTGGGGACCAGTTGGCGCGAGTACGAAAGGTACCCTTGACAGTTGGAGACATCGTACTCGTGTATGACTCGTCTTTGGAGAAGCATTGGTCCAGGAAACTTGACAAAAGGTGGTTAGTTCCCTATCGGATTGTGCGATGTGGAAATTTCAGCGCATACCAAATTGAAGAACTAGATGGGACAAAATGGAAGGACTGGGTATCAGGGACGAGACTGAAGAAGTTTGTGGCAAGAGAAGAGGTGAGATAGACAGTCTAACTTCTTTAAGAGTGGGATGTTGGGATGTGTAGATTACATAGGGGTGCATGATGTATGTGTTTGGTTTGACCTGAGCTTGCTTTATTTACGACCTGTTTGCTTACTCCAATGTGTGCTTGTTGTCTCCTTCGCCTGTTGTGCAGGTGTGACTTTGCGAAGACAACCATGCCAAGAGGAGGGAGGGGGACACGGCCTCCACGGAGGCCGTTGGGCGCATCAGGAGGTTATGAGCAGTATGGATCTCGCCATCGAGAGAGTACGCCCGTGTATGATGATGGGGATATAGAGCTATTCCTGGACAATTTTCGGGGGTATGCAGAGCATATGGGTTGGACCATGACTCATACGATCGAGAGGCTGAGAGGAGCCGATAGGTTCGCTGAGCCCATTGCACAGATTCGTAGGGAAGCGAGGACGTGGCCAGAGGCGGAGACGAGGATGCAGGAGTTACGACCGTCGCCTGTGGGTCCTGATGGCAGGCCACTCCGCCTAGAGATCGGGAATGTGAAGGATTTTATCCCCGCCTTCGAGCAGTTCATGCATGGCCAGGGCATATTGAGGGATGAGTGGGCAAGGACGTTACCCCTGTGGACCAGAAAGGCAGAGAGACCCTTGGATATGCAGATCAGAGACATGGCTCGGGATTGGGAGAGCTGCAGAGCACATTTGAGAGAGGCATTTCGACGACCAGAGCCACCTCAGCCCAGAGTCGAGAGACGTCAGAGGAGCAAGAGGCAGAGGGACCCTGAGCCCAGAGAGGCCAGACCGTCTCGAGGGGGACGGAAGGCACTTGCCAAGCGAGAGGAGGAGTTGGTGTCTGAGACTGAGGGGCGAGGGGCATACTCAAAGTGCGGATTGGGGCCGGTGGAGTTCCATCGCTTTACTGAGGGAGGACTGGGAGGATCTCCACAACGCACACGAGAGGAGATGCCAGCATCTGGAGAGCCTCTGCAGGAGTTGGAGGCACATTTGGACGTCTCACGGTGGAGAGTGCCGCCGATGAGCGAGGGACGTGATGAGCCAGCAGAGGAGGTACCACGGGAGGAGGTTCAGGACCCTGAGCGAGAGATGAGGCCGAGTACAGAGAGGGGACATGCTGTAGAGGAGGTGATAGAGGTTGAGGAGGATACTCCCCCTCAGACGCCGGCCATGGGATTGAGACTGGGGAGTACGCCAGAGGGCGCACATGGTAGAAAGAAAGGATTGTGGCGAGAGGAGATCCCACTACCACCACCAGAGACTGCCCCTTCGCCAGGAGGAAGAGTAGAGATGGAGAGAGAGAGCCCCAACCGAAGAAGAGAGGCCCTCGCTATGATTGACAGGCATTTGGCTGCACACGCCCTAGAGCACCCTGGCTTGGAGGAACCCGTACCTAAGGAGCCACCCCAGGAGCCACGCCAGGCAAAGAGAGAGATGGGAGCTGAGGTTCCAGGGAGAGCCGATCAACGCACGAGGGAGAGAGTTCCAACAGGAGAGACGACTGAGGAAAAATGGGTCAGAGTTAGGAAGCGTTTGGAGGAAATTTGGCAGGAAAGACAAAGGTTAGAGGAGGCAGGGGCACTCCCACATCAACCAGCACCACCCAAGCCATACGGAATCAAGGAGATGTGGGACGAATTCCTTGACCAACATAGCGAAAGGTTGATGGCTCCAGAAAGGGCAGAAGTTGGAACTTCAAGGAAGGCGGATGAGTACTTAGACCGAAAAATCCGCTTCCTAGCCAAGACCCCCTTCGATAGGTATTTGATGTTGGAAGCTGATCTGGCTGGGAAGAAGATGAAGGAAGTAAGCCATGGAGTACGCTTAGAGGCGGTTGAGGCTGAGGTCCGAGAGCTCAGGGGATTGGTGGCTAGTCAAGCTGCCATCATCCATGAATTGAGGCAGCAACCTCAAGGCGGGGCTGACAGGACTGACAGAGAGGGGCCAGCCAAGGTGGTGGACAGGGCAGAGAGCAGCCGGTGTGGAGAGCAGACAGAGACAGGGTATGGCTTATCAGGGCAGCTGTCCGCAATTGAACTCCCCCAGGGATCGTCCATAGGAAAAACCATATTGGAGCCTGAGGAGGCGAAAACCAAAGGGGAGGCAGAGAGAGAGGGCTTCGAGTTCAGAATCTCTACTGAATTCACTACTCTGCCTGTAGCAGTGGTGGAACCCACGATGGCAACTACGCCATTGTCAGTAGGGGAAGGACTGCAGACGGCCAGCAGCGAGCCAGTCCAGGGTTCAGCAGAAGGATCTATGGATATACTTCTTAAGGCAGTCGGCACTATGTAGGAAGAGGCGAGTCTATTTTCGCCTGAGCAAAGGGTAGAGGAGCCTCCTGAGAGAGAGATGGTGACTGCGATGTCGAGCGCATCAGTCCGGCACCGCACGGGGCAGCGCGGGACCCTCCCGGCCGCGTCACGCAGGAGTTGGTCTAAATCCTCGTCGTGAATATACATGGAGCTTCCGCAAGCCGCCCCAGCCGAGTGCGCCATCCATACCTCTCGCGAGCCCCTACGACAGGACAGGGCCTATGAGAGGCACGACTTACCTCCACCTTACGGGAGCTGTCACCTCCCTTCGGTGGGCGTATCCCCGTCGAGCTACCAGTCCACAGTACGAAAGTTGATCAGCTGCAATCGCAGAGGTGGACCAGCCGAGGGCGTTTCTCGTTCGATGTAGCATAGGGGGTACGCGCGGTAATACGTCTCTATCGAACCCGCACGCGAATCGACGCCTTGGGGGGCTGAGGTCCCAAGCGCGACTCGTCTCCAGTCGACTAGGACGCATCTCACGCACCACGCGCACACCACTCTAAGAACATAAAAACAAATACACACACATATATGCACATACATATACAAATAAAGAACGACACAAAACAAACAACAGGACAGCACTCCTAGTCCCTTAGTAGCCATCCCATAACTTTCTGACGCGGAAATCAGATAGGCATCACGCGCGAGACTCAGTATAAACCTCGCGGACGCAAGGCTATCTCATATCGACTCGCAATGCATGCGTACACAAACGATCGCAATGATGGCGTACTATGCAGTACTCATACTCATGCGGTCCTCGTTAATCCCAAGGGTCGCATTCGACACTCAAGTGTCGACTGACGCGCGCCTTGAAGGATTGACCTCTCGACGCTGGACAACCGCCAAGTGCGGTTGAAAACCACACCGTTTTCTATACCCTGCGGAGAGTGGGTGGTACACAGGTTCATACATGTGGTGGCAACCGTCTCTTATCACCCTAGAGACCAGCTCTATCATCTAGGGTCTGGAAAGAAGTCAAGGGGTTTGACATTGACGGCTGCCACAGACTACAACATCCAACTATAAAAATTAACAAGCAAAATCAATCAATAAATAAATAAGCATCCCAACACTCATATATCAAATCAGGACTCGAGATAACAAATAAAGGAGTGGGAAACATAAACCCATCAGGTATGCAGATTGTCCGACATGTGGTTATCATTCTCACTGCCTCCAAAGTATGACCCATATACCAAGCTCTAAAATATTAACCTGCATACAACACAGACACACATAATAGTCACATTGTCATACACCAATGCAGTCAACTTTACTGTTCCCTGCAACTCATACCACGCCTTACACCCTCAAACCCCAGTCGTAGCTCAACCTTCCATAAATCTCATAAGTTCTTTATAATGGCTATTTAAAAGAAGTTCGGTTAAAATTCTCAGAGAAACATATCAAATAACAGGGTTAAGGCAAACAAGCTGAGGTACAGGTGTAAGCAAAGTTGTATCGTGAGTAAACGAGTCGGCGATTAACCAACCGACCTGTTATCAGTGATAACAGAAGATGATCCTCGTAGGATCAAGTCAAAACTAGTCCAAATCCTGGATTGAATGTGCAGTATCATAAGACAAGTCAACGCCCAAGCTAAATCATAAGTGTATGGAGATCAAATTCCCATGACAGGTTCTCATTCAAGACTCTCCTAATAGCCAAGCCTAGGTCTACCTCTAGGCCAGTGTCCAAAGAACGGTAGACCTATGGCAGAATCTCCTCTATACAAAGTGGATCGCCAGAGTCGCCACCTGTCAAAATATAATCTATCTCCTCTAAACTAGGAAAATTTTGGCAGCGCTTCCCGTAGGAAAAGTGTCTTTCCAGAAAACAGAAATAATCTTCAACCTTCGAAAGTCAAATTTTGTCCAACTCCCTGAATTAGCAAAAATTTGGGAAGCACCCCCTTTAGAAAAGGAGACTTCCCAGATTTTTACTAAGCCATATATAAAAATTAGACAAGTTGAACTTTTGAAAAGTCAACTTTTAACTAACTCCTTGGATTTGCAGAAATTTCGACAGCGTTTCCCGTAGAGAAAGTAGCTTACCAAAATTCACACAAGCCAGGTTCAGAATCTAAAATGACTTTAACTTCTCAAGGTTCAATTTTATCTAACTCCCTGAATTAGCAAAAGTTCGGGCAGCACTCCCTTTAGAAAATAAGACTCTCCAGATTTTTACTATGTCATATATGAAAGTCAGATAAACTGAACTCTGAAGACACAAAATCTAACAAACTCCTTGGTTTTGTAGAAATTTCGGCAGCGCTTCCCGTAGAGAAAGTAGCTTACGAGGATTTATACAAGACCAAGTATAATAAAAGATCCCAGAAAATGCAGAAATTGACCTAAGTAAAAATAAACTTAGCTCAGAAAAAGCAGGAATTGAAACTAACTCCTATGGCTCTAGCACGTGGCGAGCATCTAAAACAACTACCTATCAAATTGAAACTCAGACTAAGTAGTAGCCTCACTCAGTCACATGCAGGCCAAACCACAAAGGTAAGTACTCTCACCATCCAAAAGTCAACTTAGCAAACAATAGTTCATAGTCTTTCAATGATTTACCCCTTTATACCCAGCTTACATAGGACATAAAGCTAGACCACCCAAATTTGTGGAACATGTGTAGCTCAGCCATGAAGTATACAGAAATACAGGGCACAACAACTTTTCTGTTCTTTGGGCATGTGACTAGGTCACCTTATATAATTGTTTGCACTTAGTCTTTTGAGGTATCATATAACTGGGCCGATCATCTTCATCTCAAGACTCAGTCTGCCCCTTTGTACCACAAGTTTATTATTAATTTATACTCTCTTCTGTTGGTGATGAGCTATAGTCAGACCACCCAAACTTATGGACCCCTTTCTGACTAGCATGTTCATAGATAAAATAATAGTAGAGTATAGCCAAGTTATAACCATCTAGTTCCAGCATGTGCAAGACGTTGGACCAAGACCACCCAAACTTATGGAACATGTCTTGGCCCTCAGCCTGGTTCATTTTCCTCAAAGCCAAGGCAAAAAGAAATCGACAGAAACCCAAAGTAAACAAGGCCGCCAGACTACCCAAACTTATGGATTTGACTGGTTCCTGAAAAGTCAACCGCAAGCAACCCTCACAAGTCAGAGCAGCTAGACTACCCAAACTTATGGATTTAACTGACTCTCCACTCAATCCAAAAATAAACACAACACTAGGCCTTCCCAAACTTATGGAACTGACCTAGTCTTTGGTTGACCCTGTCAAACATGCAATATTGCCTTCCTCCCATCCTTCCCCCACATGCAACCCCACAATCTGCTTTCAGTCAAACAAAGAAACTGAAACTGACATTACGCATACATTCCTTTACTTGGTTTGGATTGTGTCCTGAAAGTCAAACTGAAAGTCAAAATAGGGAGACAGACAACATACTCAGTCAAACATAGTAATGAATACAAGTAGGGGTTATACTGGGTTTATAAAAGGAAAGCAATGGTTAGCTTTTAGTTCCCTGCCTCCAGAACTCCTCCCGAGTTCCGGCAGAGCTCCCGCAATCAGTGGGCTGACTCCCCACAGAGTCTTACTACGGTCCTACGGGTTGCAATCCCGTCTGCCGCCTTCCTCTCATAACAGGACTAGACTTAGAGTAAGGGGGATAGAAATAGAAAATTTAAGTCTCTCAGAGCCAAGGAGGGTGCGCTCAGACTCGCGCGAGAGGGCCTTGTTATCTTCTCTCGACTGAGGGCCCTGCAATAGTGGCCAAAACGCAGCCGCAGGCCGGTCAAACTGAAGTCAAACACCAGCTGCCGATTCCCCGCCGACTCCCCGACGACTCCCAAGATGGCAGCAAAAGACCCTTCTACAACATTCCCGGCCATTCCCCCAAACTTACAATCCCATGCGCATTTAACCATGAGCGAGCCTGCAATCCTTACGGCTTGTCTCCGGCTACTTCATTCAACAGATGACCACACGTCTGCCAACAGCCTGTCCAATACCTCGCGACTTGCCTGTTACCGCACAGGCTAGTGGGCGATAGATATATCAGTCAGCGGACCGATCTGCAACTCTCACTGTAGTTCCGCTGCATCTTCGCCTAATGGGTTGGGTTGTACATTGGCCACTAAGTAGGTCTTTAGCTTCCCGACTGCTTTCCTTAGCTATTTCAGTCAGTCAAGATAGGTTGTGCACCAGCCAGTAGGCGAGCACACAGCCCCTGATTGCCACAACAATACAACAGTATGTGGAACGTGGCAACAAGTCACGTGCACACACCGTAGGAACGCAACATCTCCAGTCTCGACACCCCTCCCTCGTGCTGCAGCAATCGCGGTATCTCAATTGGCACAACAAATACTTGATGCAACAAAAGCAAAATAACCCAGCAAACAGTAAGCATAAGTCACAACTTTTTAGCAACCAGCAACACCCCAATTCCCAGTAGTTTGTTGGGCATGGCCAGATTTAGAGTATCATACTACTCAGCAACCGTTCAGCAGTCTCGACCGTGACAACGGTCGGCCTAACCGATAGACCTCCAACCCACGGTTGTTTCTCATGCTCCTTTCGATAATATCCCAAGCAACACGCTTATCCACAGAACCTCCACTCCTCTGTGTTTCCCCCTTTGGAGCTGAATTGGTGGATCTCCCTACAGAATACTGAAGTATCGAACTGGACCGCGAAGGAGGGCATACCCCTGTAGCCGCCAATCATACATGTACAGAGATCCCTTCTGACGAGTAGACCTTGGTATCATCGGCCACGGTCTTTCGCTCGGCAATACCAGTCCCCGCCTCCGTAGGCCAGTTCGAACGGCGAGGGATGATGCGCCCTGTTATCTGCCGCACCTGTTCACCCAGCTGCCTGTGTTCCGTTAACCTTTTCCATCGGTTGTTGATGGTATGCTCCTTCTCGATTGGTTTCGGGTAGCCCTCTTTCTCTCTCTCTCTCTCAACAAAAAAATTGTGGCAAATTTTATGACAGGATGATCACATGTGGACACCATATTTCAACCATTGGAACTGTGTTTATAAACTGTTTGGCGGGAGGGGAGTCATGTGTTCTACCAGA